GCTGAAAATGTCTTTTGCGCTTATGTCGATGTTTCTGAGCGTCACTGATGAGTCTTATGTAGACGAAACGCGCGTCTGGCGTATTAAATTATAAGCCTGGTACCTTTGATAACTATTTACACCACTGGATCGATGCCACTGCTGGTGGACGTTTCGTCCCCGAGGGTATCACCAGCCCAGTAGTCAACACTTAGGTGTTGACATGAATATCAATTATATGGTCATATTTATAAATTTCCTGTTTCAAAATTATGAATTTTTCGAAATACTAAGGATTTTCTTATCACATGCATAGATTACCTTAGCCGTATTTGGCATAACTTTTTGGAATTTCGGTCCTCAATGCTCTTCAACTTTGTACTTGTTTGGCTTTATAACTATTTTGATCTGAGCGTCATTGATGAGTCTTATGTAGACGAAACGCGCATCTGGCGTATTAAATTATAAGCCTGGTACCTTTGATACTGTAAATTCAGAAATTATTTCGATTTTGTCATTTGAGACTAAAATGCGATTTTAATCTTTGCCATATTGAGAAAATCCTGTTTAATTCAGATAAAAAAATTTCGAAATGCGAGTTTAAATTATTGCGATTATAACCCCATCGCATTTTTCGCAATAATAAAAAAATCGCAATAATTTCTGAATTCACAGTATCTAATTTCATATTTTGGCAAGTTACATCCTTAGATTAATAATGTTAGTGTTTTTCTCTGCTTCATCCCCATTCTAATATATTCAATTGGAAATATATTTGCATATTCCTACTTATAATTGCATACCATGCTGATTTGGTGACCCTTTTATTGTCTGAGGTAGAAGTTCAAAATCTGCATTAGAGAAGAAGTTGTTATTTTGTGGATTGGTCATTTAACATGAAACTAGACATGATGTCAAATATGGGGAGTATTTATTGCTAAAACTACAGAAAAAATACATTCAGGTTGTTAATAAACTACACTTCTAGTAATAATTGCAAAATAATGTCTTCCTGAACAATTAATAAACCACTGAAACAGAGCGTAGTACATAATGATGTATACAATCTTCGCATTGATCTTATACAAGTATCCATAAAATACAGAATATTTCACAAAGACTTCCAATTGCAAGTTTGTGTGATACCAGTCTGCTAACATAATTCAGTATATTTGATATGTTTACATCAAATGGTAATATTTCTGATTGTTAGTAAAAAAAGTTTTAAAAACTCTACCAATTGTATGTTATCCGCGATGCAAATTTACGCAATTAGTAAAACGAAACCATTGAGTGAACGCAAGTATCATGAAAAAAATATATACAATCAAGTTGAAAGTCAACAACCCTCTCCTGTTTTCGAAAAAAAGCTTACACTTTTCAAAGAAAATCTAACGTTAAAACATTATAACACCTCGAATAGAGACGCTAAATCAACAGTGAGTTTGTTCTTGCATTTGAATAATCAAGATTGTGGAAAAGTCTTGTTTGCCGACAGCACATCACAGAATGCTAAACAGCTGACTTGCACTTGTTTGCTTTGATTCCCTGTCAAACTTTGACGTCGAGTGAAATGTGACGGCAACCAATGTAATCTACGACAAATGCGTCAAATTGATATTACGACAGAATTGTTGAAAATTATGGAGAAATGCTTAAGAGAACTGAGGACCTTTATATAGATATAAGAAGATGTGGTATGAATGCCAATGAGACAACTCTCCATCCAAGTCAAAATATATAAAAGTAAACCATTATAGGTCAAAGTACGGTCTTCAACACGGAGCAATTGCTCACACCGAACAGCAAGCTATAAAGGGTCCCAAAAATTACTAGTGTAAAACCATTCAAACGGGAAAACCAACGGTCTAATCTATATAAAAAACGAGAAACGAGAAAAACTTATGAACAACATCAACAAACGACAACTACTGAACATCAGATTCCTGACTTAGGACAGGTACAAACAATTGCAGCGGGTTTAAACGTTTTAATGGTACCAAACCTTCACCCTTATCTGAAACAATAGTGTAACATCACAACATAGAAAGACACACTATAAAATATCAACTGAAATGGCTTTATTCAATCAAAGGACATATTAACACCAGTGAACATACACTGAACAAATAAATTTGATATATGATTCAATGTAAATACAAAATAAATAAACTAAGGGAAGAATAATAAAAGTAACATGTTATACCGCTGTGAAATGTTAAACAATATAAAAAAAACAATATGCTCGAACAAAAATATGAGCCATTTACAATTACTTTAAACACAGGTAAATGAAAATAATTTTGTTGTTAGGTATACGTGTACAGTTCAAATAGAGAAAGGAAAATTTTTACAAAATAAATAATTTTGATGTTCATAGTACGAAGTGAAAATTTATAGTAATACCAAACACTTATCAAAGGTGGTATATAGACTAGATATAACCCTGAATAATAATAAATAACAAAAAAGCATTACAATTAGTATCAACAGGTCAAATAAACAAGAAAGTACGATTTGGGAGTACTCGCAGTTACTGACAGCTAGTTAAAAGCAAAAAACAATTAATAATAAAAGATCATGCATCAGAGACTAAAATCAACTAAAACACATCCCAGGGATTTAGTATTTTAACGTCATGGACAGTCAAAGAAGACATGACTTGTGCAATGCCAAAAATAAATGTATCGACAGGCAGTAGGATAGTTAGGAGATAACCTCTTTATAGATCAAAATGAACGTGGGTGTGTCTTTATTCATCCCGTTTGAAAAGAATACAAATTTAGTTATGTTTTAATTTGCTGATGACAAAATCGATATTAGTGCCAATGTAAACTATATTCAAAGATCTAATTACAACATTGGTAAGATAACCTTTACTAATAAGTTTGTTTAAAGGGTCGATGAGTTTACACGGATCACATAGTGATTTCCGCGCTTTAAATACAATATTACCGTACGGCCAAATTTACTAATCAAATCTTTGTATCTATGAAAGAATTTAGTAAAAGTTTTACGTAATTTATGGTCACGAAATCCCTGACTTAATAAATTACCAGTGATGCACTGATTACGTTCGTTAAAATCTATGACATCACTACACACACGGGCATAACGAACGAGTTGGGATATATAAACACCGTATGATGGAGCCAAAGGAACATCGCCGTCTAAAAGAATGAAAATTAACAATAGGAACTGAAAAGTCGTCTCTTTTGTCGCAAATTTTCGTATGGAGTTTTCCTTTAGAGATTGAAATGTCCAAATCTAGAAAAGGACAACTACTGCTGTTTATGTTAGATTTAGTTAAAGTAAGTTCTATTGGGTTAATGTCGGTAGTATATTTAGAGAACTCTGGATTATTTAACGAACAACATCATCTAGATAACGGAAGGTAATGTTGAATGTATCAACCAAATGTAACAATGACGTGTCTTTACTGAGTTTGGTCATGAACTGAGATTCATAGCAATACAGGAATAAATCTGCTATTAAAGTGGCGCAGTTAGTGCCCAGAGGAATACCTACTACTTGTCGATACACTTTATTGCCGAAACGTATATATATGTTGTCCAGGAGAAAATTTATAGCTTCAATCATGTCTTCACATTTCCAGTAAGTGTATCTAGCATACTTTCCTTTTTCGTTACAGAAAAAGGCTGTAAACGAGTTACAGCAAATAAATTTGTAATGAAATTTTTCAATAGACCATTTAATTTAATATGAAAACTTTTTCTTTATAAGATTGTGTGGAAGTGTAGTATAGAGAGTAGAAAAATCATAACTGTCAACAGAATTAAAAGGACCATCAAAAGCATGTATTTTATCTAAAACCTCTAAAGAATTTTTAACACTCCAAAAATAATTAATACCATTATTTGCATAAGCTTTACTACAAAAGTTAATAACAAGTTCTTTAATAGTAGTAAGGGACGTAGTTAGAAGCACTGATAGATTGGTAGTAGAACACTTACTAGATGCGGAGATGAAACGGAATTTACATGGTTTTTTGTGCAATTTTGGTAACCAGTACATAGTAGGTAATTTTGTTTTTGAACATATTAGCTGAAGTTGTACTTTTTTCTTTTTATTCTTTCATTTTCAAGACCATATATTACTGAAGAATATTTCAGAATATGGAAAAGCAAAGCTTCTCATAGTTTTAACTGTTAAACAATATGAAAAGAATATTCTATATAGTCTTGTCAAGAGCATATTTTTGGACTTGGTGAGCTAAAGATTCGCCACCTTGAAAGACATTTCCGTTTAACAATCATCGAATTGAGGCTTATGATGATACATCAATCATGCGTAAACTTCAGCTTAGTTAAAAATCTACCTTTCATTTACTGAAAAAAGTAAGACCTAGGATAGAGGACTCCCTTAACAGGAGTGATCTGTTTAACATTACCCTGATACAAGTTGTCACATCTCATAATTTGAAAATGGGAGGCATGATCAAACTCATCATTGTACCGTATTCTTTTCACTATAAAGTTAATTTGTCGTCTGTTGCTGTCTGTCATATTTGTTCTGTCATGTACTAGGGGTACCGTTGTTTTTTTTCTCGTTTTAACTGTTTTACAAAGTGTCGAGGCCTTTTCAGATGGTCATTCGGTACGGGTTTAACCAATTGTTGAAGACTGTACGGCAACCTTTATTTGTTTTGAACTCATTTGAACTTTAGTGAATGGTTCTTTCATTTGCATTCGTATCATTTAATATTATTTTTATAGAGTCCTGGCAGCCAGCAGTAATTAAACAACCCCTCCCTTCATCAAGTCTTTTGATGTATGCCCTAGCAGGTGAAAATTGTTGAGATTTGTTCTATTATTATCAGATTGATTTTTTTTTATCAGATAATGTATTAGGGAGCATCGATACATGTACACAATTTAATAGCTGTAAATATCTCTGGTGACAAAGTAACGTTACACGTATCAAATATCTATAAGACGAGATATGATTTCAGAAAATTGTTTTTAAACCGAATTACACAACTTCCTTTTTGTCGTTACAACTGGAGCATGAAACCTACTTACAAAAATCGTATTTAAATCTATTTGTTTATTTAAAGGAAATTACTGTTTATGTTATGGAGTAGTTACTTGATTTCAATATATATATGTAAGTTTTTACAGCAGAATTAGTGGAGCATTTTTAAAACAAATTAAAATTATTGGCTTGTATAAATACTGCATAAAGAGTAACCGAGTTTGTTTTTGTTGAATTTAGTTAATTGTGGTTACTGATAATTATTTTCCATTTTTTATATTGATTTAAAAATAACGGAAAACTGTTGTGGTCAAGATCATCAAGGATTTCTAAAAGACTATAATTAGGGATTTGGTTTAAGCATTCAAATCAACAGCAATTACATTTTGTATAAAATTCTATTATTTATGAGTTGAACTCATTAAAGGGTTCATTACTTTCCCGATGAGATGATTGGTATATATGACAAAAGAAAATTTTCTCATAATCAACTAAAACCAAACCACTCTACACATTCAGAATCATATCTAAAATTAAAAAAAAAACGGAATTACTCTTATAATCTCTAATAATTCCACTTGTCTTCATTTTACGTTTGACCTGTTTTGGCAAAATATTAATAGCAATTTGGAATCTCTGGTACATCAAAATAATCAGTCTTTTATCTTTAAAGTAAGTATATCCTACATGACCATCAGTCCTTGAAATTCAGGATACTTATTAATTATTCGATCTCAACCCAAATGCATGTTTGCATATAAAGGAAAAAGGATGAGGGGGCTACGTTTTTTGGTCCCTTGAATTAAAAAAAAATAGAGTAGTATAAGTCTATCAAATGATACCCTTCAGATTTGTATAAGTCATCAGTCTGTTAGATACTTGGATATTTATGTTATTGTATTGTGACCACCATGTTGTCACTTAGGCTTCAAACTTCTTGCGTTTGTCGGACAAGAATAAAAACTGCCTCATTTTGAGATCTTGTCAACTATATTTAGATAAGAGACAAGGTCTTATCCAAAATTTAAATCAATAACAATTACATTTTGTACCAAATTCTATACTTTATGTCTCGAAGTTAAAAGCTGCATTATTTTCATTATGAAATGATAGTTATATGTGTATATATAAAACAGTTTTTTGCGTTTGCTGTACTGTTAAATAAACATATCTACATTCACAGATTGGTTGAAAAAAGGGGGAGGGATCCGGATTGATGGTAAAATCTTTGTTTTTACATTTAGCATTGTAGGGAAATGATAATATATATAATCTTATTAAGAAAATACAATCAGATTGTGTCATTTGTCAGACTAAAAGAAACATATATCATATTTGTTTCCCTCAGTATTTTGCTTTCGTATCTGTTTAGTTGTTATTGTGATAATCTCATTTTGTCTCTGTGTATTAATAATTATACTACTGGGTAAATACATGTGTCCTTTGTTTCAAAAATATCAACACAATCCATATTCAAAGAAATAAAAAGTATTTATATATAACATTTAAAAGAAAACTAGTAGAGAAGAATCTCATATCAATTTACATTGACTTAACAAGGAAACAAATTAATTATCAGGGTTCCAACAGCCAAGGTTACTTTGAGTTTTGGACTGGGCCCCTAAATCTTTAATTTAGCTGAAAATGTCTTTTGCGCTTATGTCAATGTTTCATATTTTGGCAAGTTACATCCTTAAATTAATAATGTTAGTGCTTTCCTCTGCTTCATCCCCATTCCAATATATTCAATTGGATATATATTTGCATATTCTTACTTATAATTGCATACCATGCTGATTTGGTGACCCTTTTATTGTCTGAGGAAGAAGTTCAAAATCTGCATTAGAGAAGAAGTTGTTATTTTGTGGATTGGTCATTTAACATGAAACTAGACATGATGTCAAATATGGGGAGTATTTATTGCTAAAACTACAGAAAAAATACACTCATGTTGTTTATAAACTACACTTTTAGTAATAATTACATAATAATGTCTTCCTGAACAATTAATAAACAACTGAAACAGAGTGTAGTACATAATGCTGTATACAATCTTCGCATTGATCTTATACAAGTATCCATGAAATACAAAATATTTCACAGAGACCTCCAATTGCAGGTTTGTGTGATACCAGTCTGCTAAGATATATCAGTATATTTGATTTGTTTACATCAAATGGTAATATTTCTGATTCTTAGTAAAACAATTTTAAAAACTCTACCAATTGTATGTTATCCCCGATGCACATTTACACAATTAGTAAAACGAAACTATTGAGTGAACGCAAGTATCATGAAAAAAATATATACAATCAAGTTGAAAGTCGACAACCCCCTCCTGTTTTCGAAAAAAAACATTACACTTTTCAAAGAGAATCTAACGTCAAAACATTTTAACATCTCGAATAGAGACACTAAATCAACAGTGAGTTTGTACTTGCATTTGAATAATGAAGATTGTGGAAAAGTCTTGTTTGCCGACAGAACATCACAGAATGCTTAACAGCTGACTTGCACTTGTTTGCTTTGATGCCCTGTCAAACTTTGACGTCGAGTGAAATGTGACGGCAACCAATGTAATCTACGACAATTGCGTCAAATTGATATAACAACAGAATTGTTGAAAATTATGGAAAAATGCCTTAAGAGTACTGTGGACCTTTATACATGTTTATAAAAGTTGGGTTTATAGTTATTCATGCTTATTTTCCCTGCTATTGCACGGGATGTAAAACACTACAAACTGTACATTTCCCTGTTTAATCGTTCACAGATCTTTACATTACGTAAATGATTTGTGTTAAAGGGAGTATGTTGTTTGTTTTTTTTTTGGATTCTGTATCTTACATGTGTTATTTCATTCTGTTGTAATAGGTTTTGTCGCATAAAATTCCACTATATTGACGATATGTAAACAAAAACAAACAGACAAAATAGGCAAAAATGTCAAAATAGGACCACAACGGTCAACATTGTACAACAATCTTAATCAATACGAAAGCAAACAAATAAACACTAAAAGGCACAAAGACAAATAGATATAAGAAGATGTGGTATGAGTGCCAATGAGACAACTCTCCGTCCAAGTCACAATTTGTAAAAGTAAACCATTATAGGTCAAATTGCGGTCTTCAACACAAAGCCTTTGCTCACATCGAACAGCATGCTATAAAGGGTCCCAAAAAATACCAGTGTAAAATCATTCAAACAGGGAAACTAACGGTCTAATCTACATGTATATAAAAACGAGAAACACTTATTAATCACATCAACAAACGACAACCATTGACATCAGGTTCCTGACTATGGACAGGTGCAAACAAATACAGCGGGTTTAATTAATAGGCACAAACATTCTCCCTTACCTGAAACAATAGTGTAACATCACAACATAGAAAGACACACTATAAAATATCAATTGAAATGGCTTAACTCAATCAAATGAAATATTAACACAAGCAAGTGAACATACACTGAACAAATAAATTGATCTATGACACAATGTAAATACAAAATCAGTACCTTCCGATGAACCTTTTTTTTAGAAAATGGATGAGACGTTCTTTGACATACACTTGGTTCATCAACTTTCTGTTCAGATACTGGTGACATTTAACAAAGTCAGTGCCTTATGGTCTGAAGTTTAAGTGTTACTCTACGTCCGTTATTCTTGACTTGATTTTAGTTTTTTTTTAATTCTTCATGTTCTTAGAAAAGCTACTACGTGCACGTTTTTTTTATATGGTGATTTTGTTTTTGAACATATGAGCTGAAGTTGTACTTTTTTTCTTTTTATTCTATTCACTGAAGAATATTTCAGAATATGGAAAAGCAAAGAATCACATAGTTTTAACTGTTAAACAATATGAAAAGAATATTTTATATAGTCTTGTGAAGAGCATATTTTTGGACTTGGTGAGCAAAAGATTCGCCAGCTTGAAAGACATTTCCGTTTAACAATCATCGAATTGAGGCTAATGATCATACATTAATCATGCGTAAACTTCAGCTTAGTTCGAAATCTACCTTTCATTTACTGAAAAAAGTAAGACCTAGAATAGAGGACCTCCTTAACAGGAGTGATCTGTTGAACATAACCCTGATACAAGTTGTCACATCTCATAATTTGAAAATGGGAGGCATGATAAAAGTCATCATTTTGCCGTTTTCTTTTCACTATAAAATTAATTTGTCGTTTGTTGTTGTCTGTCATATTTGTTCTGTCATGTACCAGGCGTACGGTTGGTTTTTCTCGTTTCAACTGTTTCACAAAGTGTCGAGGCCTTTTTAGATGGCCATACGGTACGAGTTTAACCAATTGTTGAAGACTGTACGGCAACTTATATTTGTTTTGAACTCATTTGAACTTTAGTGAATGGTTCTTTCATTTGCGTTCGTATCATTTAATATTATTTTTATAGAGTCCTGGCAGCCAGCAGTAATTAAACAACCCCTCCCTTCATCAAGTCTTTTGATGTATGCCCTAGCAGGTGAAAATTGTTGAGGTTTGTTCTATTATTATCAGATTGTTTTTTTATCAGATAATGTCTTAGGGAGCATCGATACATGTACACAATTTAATAGCTGTATATATCTCTGGTGACAAAGTAACGTTACACGTATCAAATATCTATAAGACGAGACATGATTTCAGAAAATTGTTTTTAAACCGAATTACACAACTTCCTTTTTGTCGTTACAACTGGAGCATGAAACCTACTTACAAAAATCGTATTTAAATCTATTTGTTTATTTTAAGGAAATTACTGTTTGTGTTATGGAGTAGTTACTTGATTTCAATATATATATATGTAAGTTTTTACAGCAGAATTAGTGGAGCATTTTTAAAACAAATTAAAATTATTGGCTTGTATAAATACTGCATAAAGAGTGACCGAGTTTGTTTTTGTTGAATTTAGTTAATTGTAGTTAATAATATTTGGTTTCCGTTTTTTCATATTGATTTAAAAATAACGGAAAACTGTCGTGGTCAAGATCGTCAAGGATTTCTAAAAGACTATAATTAGGGATTTGGTTTAAGCATTCAAATCAACAGCAATTACATTTTGTATAAAATTCTATTATTTATGAGTTGAACTCATTAAAGGGTTCATTTCTTTCCCGATGAGATGATAGGTATATATAACAAAAGAAAGTTTTCTCAAAATCAACTAAAACCAAACCACTAATACTAATAAGGGTCCTTATTTTACGTTTTGACCTGTTTTGGCAAAATATTAATAGCAATTTGGCATCTATGGTACATCAAAAATAATCAGTCTTTTATTTTTAAAGTAAGTATATCATACACGACCTCAGTCCTTGAAATTCAGGATACTTATTAATTATTCGATCTCAACCCAAATGAATGTATGCATATAAAGGAAAAAGGATGAGGGGGCTACGTTTGTTGGTCCCTTGCATTAACAAATAATAGAGAAGTATAAGTCTATCAAATGGTATCCTTCAGATTTGTATAAATCATCAGTCTGTTAGATACTTAGATATTTATGTTATTGTATTGTGACCACCATGTTGTCACTTAGGCTTCAAACTTCTTGTCGGACAAGAATTAAAACTGCCTCATTTTGAGATCTTATCATCTACATTGAGATAAGAGACAAGGTCTTATCCAAAGTGAAATTGTGCTACGCAAAAGACAAACAATAGTCTAAAAACACAATATGTGTTTTAATAACCTTTTTTTAATCTTCCGGCCTCTCTTTATCTTCAAAGCAGCTTATGAGTTTAAATTCATTTTCGTTTTATGCCTTATTGCCTGTCTAATTGGAGCCTAAATTACATGTAAAATGATAATTTTAGGTAAAATATATTATTTTTAACTTGTTTATAAAATTGAGAATGAAAATGGGGAATATGCCAAAGAGACAACAACCCGACCAAAGAGCAGATAACAGCCGAAGGCCATTAATGGGTCTTAAACGCAGCGAGAAAATCCGGCACCCGGAGGTGGTACTCAACTGGCAGCTAAATAAAATTGTGTACTAGTTCAGTGAAAATGGACGTCACACTAAACTCCAAAACATATAAATGAACTAAAATTAAAAACAAATACAAGACTAACAAAGGCCAGAGGTTCCTAACTTAGGACAGGCGCGAAAATGCGGCGGGGTTAAACATGTTTTGTGAGATCTCAACCCTCCCCTATACCTCTAGCCAATGTAGAAAAACAAACACCCAACAATACGCACAGTTAAACTCAGTTTAAAAGAAGTCCGAGTCTGATGTCAGAATAGGTAACAAAAAGTAAAATCACAAAAATACTGATCTCCGAGGAAAATTCAAAAAGGAAAGTCCCTAATCAAATGGCAAAATCCCTCAAACAAGCTCAAACGAATGGATAACAACTGTCATATTTCTGACTTGGAATAGGCATTTTCTTATTTAGAGAAAGAAACTAAGCAAAATGACAATGATACACAAATTAACAAAGGACTACTAGCAGTTACTGACATGCCAGCTCCAGACCTCAATTAAACTGATTGAAAGATTACATCTTCCTTATATGAATATCAAGCACAATCCCTCACGTTACGGGTTTAGTATCATACCGTCATAAAATATATGAGAAGAATATAATCTGTAGTAACCTTGATCCCGGCTCCAATAAAATAAGTGTCATCGACGTATAAAGTGGTATACAATTTATATACCTATGCAGAGTAATTTCTGGTTAATTTATTTTGATCGATCCATTGTGTTTTTAATTCAGAACTTAATATCTTGATTTCAAATATTACATATGACATTCCCCACCAATGTCCATATTTAATTAGCTTTTGCAAGAAACCAACTCTTCAAACTTTTGAAACCTTTCCAAAAATCTACAAAAAGGCCAAATAAAGGCAACAGTAGTATACCGCTGTTCAAATGTCATAAATCGATTGAGAGAAAACAAATTCGGGTTACAAACTAAATTCGAGGGAAACACATCAACTATAAGAGAAAAACAACGAAACAACAGAAACACTAAAGTGCAACAAAAAAACAAATTATTTCTTTCCCGCAATCAAATATAATGAATTACAGCACCCGTGGCACATTATTGTTCTTGGAGAGAATTTATCTTACCTTAAACACCTTCGGCATCAGTTATAATCCAACACTCCGAAGAATTTTTAGTCTTGAAATAAGAACAGAATGTAGACTTAAAACAAATACGACATAAGACTAATAACACTGTTAATATCCTTGTTATTTGGATCCCACTTGTTTTTGAATAATTCCTCCATGTTGCCAGATTACATCGAATTCAAACAATTTCAGATTGGCTATTCCCCTTCAATTTGACTCTGAGACGCCTCCATTTTCGGTACATACAGGTTTCAACTCCCTCAAGCAAAGAAGGCCTAAGATGGATTTGGTTATTTTTTTAAGGTCCTTTTTGGGTTATAGGTTTTCAACGTTTTCGGTCTTTATACATCCTTGGCTTTCAAATATTCGGCTTAAAAAAATCCAGAAAAGCGCTTAAGACGCATTGAACTTATAACTTGTTGTTTTCTTTTTTTTCATGTAAAATTTATTATCTTTGTTTTAAAAGTGTTAATTCAGATTATATTGCCTTATCAGACAAAAAAAGTAAACAATGGCCTACTCGACTATTCGTTCATTTGTTTGTACATAAATTAGACCGTTAGGTTTCTCGTTTGCATTGTTTTACATTAATTTGTCATTTCGGGGCCTTTTATAGCTGACTATGCGGTATGGGCTTTGCTCATTGTTGAAGGCCGTACTGTGACCTATAGTTGTTAATGTATGTGTCACTTTGTCTCTTGTGGAGAGTTGTCTCATTGAAAATCATACCACATCTTCTTTTTAATATGTATTGAATTTCTCTCCCTGCCTTTCCAGCAAGTACTATTTTTAAACTGATATATGTGTTACTCATTAGTTTTATCTCTTTTCAATTTTACATTAATGTGAGTGACAATCTGAAATTTTAATTTAGCTGTTATGTCCTTCGACACCGCACCAGTTATCCATGTATATATCATCCTGATGCAGTATGAAACTATAATAACATGTGTAAACTGTCGAAATAAATGCAACAGTTGTATACCGGTGTTCAAAGGTCACAAATCGATTGAGAGAAAACAAATCCGGGTTACAAACTAAAACCGAGGAGAACACATCAACTATAAGAGGAAAACAAAGGAACAACAGGAACACTGAAGTGCAACAAAAACAAACGACAACATCGACATCGTGTCTTCAAAAATTTATTATTATCAAGCGAGAAAAATGTTATGTAATTTGTATGTACATTTTTTTGTCTTCAACAGTTTTAACAAGTATACAGAATTTTAATGGAAGCCTCTGTTGAAAAAGTAGCATGGCAAAATGAAGAGTCATTGCAACAAAGAATGCTAAGTATGTTAAAACTGGAACTGATGTGTGACGTTACGTTTCTGGTTGGTCGTGAAAAGACGCCTATAAGAGCCCACAAAAACATCCTTTGCAGTATAAGTCCAGTATTCTTCACCTGTTTTAATGGTTCTGCAGCAAATACAACAGATATGGAAATACCAGACATTGACCCAGGAACGTTTTCCATGTTGCTAACTTAAGACTTTTTTCACATTAGTATCGAAATAAAATTCCATATGATTGATCTCAACCAACAAGTTTAAAGGTTCATTCTTACTTCTTGTTCTGAATATTTTTTACAGTACTACAGTACTACAGTTGTAGACGTAAAAGTTATTGTGCAGAGAAGAATAAGTCATGATAGATATTCAACTTATTGTGCCAATATAATTAAGATTTCTGATTTTGTTCAGACATGTATAAAATTTGTCAGCAATAGTTTTGTAGTCAGGAAAAATAGCTAATAACTTTTGATGCATGTTTGTATGTTTAAATAAAATAAACTAGGGCAAATTAATTCCATATAAAATGCATTGTTAACAACGAAGTTGCGGAGAGATGATATAAAAGTAGTAGCTTTCTGTGTGAAAGTTTCTTTGTCTGTCTGTCTGTCTGTCTGTCTGCGTATCATTATAGTTACATAAAGTTAATTATCAACACAATTCAACACACGGCTTTGTATTCGAACGAGTATTCATCATTATAAAATAGAAAATTACTTACTCCAAAATAATTTATTGTCAAAAGAACGGCATTAGCTTAAAGTTCTTAACGTTGTACTTACTAGATACCTCGTTGTGTATAAGCTCTCAGCTGATTTTTAAACAACGTTATTACATTTGTAGTTGGAAAAATCACATACATTAATGTAGAGTACTATATCTGTCGCCCTTAATTCGCAATCTCAAATCAAAAACCTTTCTATGCACAACATCATGCAAGAACCATGATCCGTTCTAATACTCATTGGTCATTATTGTTGTTCCGTCATCAGCATAAAGTTTACATTGTCCCAATTACGTTGATTTTACAAAATTTGGCGGTAATTATCATGATATTTTCATTTGTTTAGATCAATCTATACAGACAAGTATGAAATCAATGGTGGAAACTTGTTTATCATGCTATGCTGTGCAGAAAATTACAAGTTGGTAAAGCTGAAAAATGTCTGCGTTGGTGTTCTAAATACCTATATTAATATCCAAGGAATAGCATTTGCATTTCCGGTTTCAGTTCAGTTTTCACTATTGAATACACAAATCAGCTGTCTCAAATTCATTTCTGATAATACAGAGGAATGTCTCCAAATGCCAGGTTTTATTTCGTTACCAGAAAACTGTATTGAACTGATACTTAGTTATAAAGGTTTATCGTGTAAAGAAGAGGTATTGTTTGAGTATGTTATGAAATGTGCCGTAAGCTTGTGTCAACAAACTAATCTGGAAATCAACATTAAGAATAAGCGAGTAGTATTGCAAACATTAATCAAATACATTAGATTTCCACTAATGGATGTAACGTATTTTACCGACGTATCAAGAATCGGTATCCTTACTCAAAAGGAAGTTATTTCAGTATTTCAAACAATCCATGGGAATTTTAACGGTTGCTTTTCAGCAGTAAAACGAAACTCTCAGATTAAAAGAATGGTCAGAAATGTTAATGATGCACAAATAATACATTTAACCTCAACACAAAAACCACCGTTTGCAATGTGTATCGATGTATCGTGTAGCGTCACAACTATTTTACATGGAATATCACTTGGCTGCATGTATAATGGAGGCAAATTTCAGTGCATTATTACACATTTAAAAGTTAAATCATTCCCAGAACGAAAATTACCAATGGTTTGTCCAAACAACCAACCAACAGTTGTAGATATACTATCTAAACTAGATAATTTGAAATTAGGGATCAACGACAACGTGCAGTTACGTGATATTTTACTGAAAGAACCAGTCATCTTATCAAAAGATAATTGGTATGTAATAGAAATATTGGTAAATAATATATCAGGTTCAGTGAAATCGTCAAATTGCTGGGACAGTGTTATTGATGGAAACATTCAAGTTATGTTTAGAAAACACTCAGAAAAAACGGAAAACGTACATCCTGAACTTATTTGTGGTGTTCTTGTGAGTGAAAAATGAAATTGTTAGGACCATATGCATCAAATTTACTTTCTAAGATGAACTACGATTTTATTTTAAATAAATATAAGATAACTTCTAATAGATATATTATGAGGTGATACACATGTTTTTATTTGGTACATTTTCTTAAGAAATATCAATCTATTGACTATTCAATTTTAAATCATAGTAACATAGCAGATTTATCGAACGTAATAATTACTAAATATTTTGCATATGTTTGCTAAGCAGACAAAAGGAAGAATGTCTGATATTGACATTACTTGGTATTCGTCTGTTGATTTTGAAAACATTTTTCTCTGAAAATGAAACGCATTTTTGAGGGATCACAACGTTGGAAATATCTTGCGAATAACGCTATATTTTATATTCTTAATTTCGTCAAAGGGCTATCATTGCTCAGGACATTGCAACTTTTTATCGTCTTTGTTTGACTCCGGCGCGCATCATTACGTTAATGCACTCTCAGAATTTTGAAAACATATACATGTTTATGACGAACATAGAATTTTCTTTTGCACCAAAAAGTTTATTATATCTCAGGATGACGCTTTAATTTATTACCATGTGCACCATTTGATTAACAATCTTTCAGTCCGTATTTTTAAAAAAAAAATTGGTATTCATATAGTATGTATTGAATGAAATTCTATTATGCACCAGACAATTCCTCCACTCTGACAAGGTTGCATAAAAATATAGTTCGATAATCATAGGCATCAGAGAACTATTCAATGCTGAGAACGAAATTATCCATGCACTTCCTTTTTCCCAATTTGAACCCCTTTTTGTCAAATCTGGAATTTCAAGCAAAAGTATTTTGATTCCAATGCCGCATGTACTAGCTTGCATAAGTAAATGTCTTAAACGGCAACTTCAATTTTAACATCTTCTGTTAATGCTGAATTTGAAACGTCCACGTGTTCAGACTTATTTTGCAAATATTTGTTTTGTAAATTCAGTACTGCTAAGACATTATACTTCTTGTCAATCTAGTTAAGTTCTGTAGATTTTCAGAAATTCAACATGTACAAAATATGGAGATATGGAACGATTGGCAGTGCGACATTTATACAGGAGAGTCCAAATGAAATAAATCTAAGGAACTATAGGTCTGGGTCACCATAAGGCCTTCAGCAATGAGCAAACCCAATACCGTACAGTCAGCTATAAAGTGCACCGACATGAAAAAATGTGAAACTATTCAAATGAAATAATAAACGGTCTGATTTCTGATAAACGAAAAACATATATGACAGAAAGCAACCAATATATTACAGGCTGCTGACTTTGGATAGACACATACAGAATGTGGTGGGGTTAACGATGTTTGTGCAATACCCAAATATAAGTTCATAGTATCTACAGGATCAAGAACCATAAAAGAGAGGCGGAAGATACCAAAGGGGTATTCAAACTCAAAAGTCGGAAACAACTGACAACACATGGCAACAACAAAAAAAGAAACAAAAACAAACCAAAAACGACCAAAAGACAAACAAAAGTTTACAAAACATAACATAGAAAACTAAGGACTAAACGACACGAACCCAACCAAAAACTGGGGTGTGAACTCATGTGCTCCGGAAGGGTAAGCAGATCCTGCTCCACATATGACACCCGTTGTATAAGTTCACATTCGGGGATGAGTCTAATTCGATTATGTCACATTCGGGGTAAAAAGAACGGGATTGTGGATATGACAATTGGAACATATCCGTCGTCCACTATAAAACAGATATTCCATAATGGTAGACTTACTCGCAAAATTTCCGAAGGGATGAATTCCACTTCACCACTTGCAACCCTTGGTTCAGTAACTTCACTGTAAGCAGTAACCCTCTATCAAAGAAATCATGAGATAGGAAATGCAAGCTCTGGATTATCCTATCAACTGGGAGATATATATTCCATATGTAGGAATGATGTCATATAGAAATGGAAAGTTCACAATTGGAAAGTTGAATTCATCTCTTTTGTTGTAAAGTTGTATTCTCAATCGATCCTCAATGTCCATTTTTAGATTTGAGTCCAGATAAGATGTAGATTTAACTGAATTTGCTGTATCCTCTATTTCAAGTTCTATTGGACCAATGCGTTTAACATAGTCACCAAATTTTAAATTGTTTAGTGAGAAGACATCATCTTAATAGCGATACGTAAAGTTATAGGATAATGCTTGCTTCTTGTCATTCATCCATAGAAGCTCCTGTATGAGATCATATGAATAAAGGTACAAGTCAATAAGAAAGGAGCACAGTTGGTTCCAAAGGAATGATGAATGGTTGTTAAAAGTTCATCCAAACATACTAAATATGTTGTCAATCCAGAAATCGAACACCGTAATAATGTCAAATCAGAGAATTTTTCTTTTGAATCAGAGTGTTTTTATACAAATTATTATTTTCTATTATATGGAACAAAAGAAGCACCAATTCTTTCAATTTACCATTCTGTTTGCAATTGAGGAATACGTGTATAAAGGGTAGAAAAGTTGGATCTGTTTATACTTAGTCTATTGCAAGAGGAAAGAGACTTAGAGTGTATGTACCTTAACAGATCTTTTGACTTTTTTAGTATCCACATCTGATTAACACCACCTCTAGAATATGTAGTTTTACAATACCTCTGAAGCCCGGCATTGATTTCTGATAAAATTGATTCAAAGAGGGAGAAGTCCCTAAAACCTGACAAAATCAAATACTAGACTATATCAACCAAAGAATGGAAAATAACTGTCAGTTTCCTGACTTGGAACAATTTTCGAAGAAAATGGTGGGTTAAAACTGGTTTTTTAGCTAGCTAAACCTCCCACTTGTATGACAGTTGTTTATAATTCCGTTATATTGACAAAATTATACGAGCAACCCAAACAGACATAATTGGTTGATGAGACAAGGACTTTATTAATATAGGATTTATCAAGGTGGTGTCACATATTTTTGTCAAATATCAAACAGATAAACTTGAATTATCTCTTTTATTTTATGGATTACTGAATTTATTCTTTCAAAATATGTGACTGCTTGTGAAGAAAGCACATGAAATTGGCGAAAATGTTCTAAAATCATCAAATCTTAAACTACAATAGCATAGATTCTTCTTTAAAATTGAAATGTTGTTGATATATGCAATTCTGTTTGATTGATATTAAATAATTAAAGGGCCACCAACTTCGTTTTTGGTGTATTAACCAATCTGTTATATTGTTGGTAGTGAAAAACGTCAAACATCGACTTTCCGGTTTACAACGTTACGCTAATACCGATATTTTGTGATATTTGCCCACCAAGATCACCACTTTGAACGATTTATACCATAACAACGAAGTCGGCGACCCTTTTATAATTTTACATCATTAAAATTGGAAATTTATGTATCAACAACATATTGTTTTCTAATTCTTCAAAATAAAACATTATATTCAAATGTATACTGTTGAATGTGCATGCCTTTGTCAACTTTAAGTAACACAAATATTTATCAACTACGTCATGATTCAAACCCGGATATGTAACGTGAGGGTACACAAACTACACCTATTTTGTCAGTTTTTTCGTCTTCATTTATTGAAGAAACAGACAAAAGTTTTCCTTTTGTGTTTATTTTGTAGATGTGTCCTTATTTAATATATTCTTCTACAAATTTAATTTTGAAACCTTACTGAATTGTAGAAAAATGGGTTTAAACCGACCTCCTTACGACTCACGATTCTGTAACAAGGAGCACCCGAATTGCATACATGCTTATATAGTTTAGATCGTTGGTTTTCCTGTTTGAATTGTTTTGTACTAGTCATTTTGGGGCCCTTTATAGCTTTCTGTTCGGTCTGATCCAAAGCTCCGTGTTGAAGGCCGAACTTTGACGTATAATTGTTTACTTTTTGCACATTGTGACTTGGATGGAGAGTTGTCTCATTGTCACTCATACCACATCTTCTTATTTCTATTAACTTCACATCTGTAAAAAGCGAATAACTGTTTTATTACTCAACATTTTCAAAATAATGTGACAAGATTTCAAGCTTATTATACATTTTGTTAAAAATTGATGACTGTGACATGTTTTTATTGGTCATTTTAAAAAGTTGACTTTTTGTGGGTGTTGCATGCAACGTTTCCGTAAATTTTACTTTTTTGACTTGATACTTCATCTGTTGATATATAATGTAACCGTTTTGTGCAAATTATGAAAAATACGAAATGTTTCGGCCCTTGGAATACTGATAAGGTTTCCACTGTTTTTTTACAAAATGGATGTACTCGGTGCAATTTGGATACTGTGACATCATATATATTTGGATTCTTAAACTTAGACCTAGACCTAAATGTAAGCTATATCTTGAACATATCAACACCTATAAATTCAAACAAATGAAAACATAAAAACTTAACAAAACACTGATTTGATGCGGCTTCAAAAAAGCAATAACATATAAACGAAGAGGCAATATTGTTTTTTTAGAAAAGCAAAAATATAAATACATTGTAAATATAAACAAAAATTGCACTTAACTCAAAGCTGCGCTTTTAGTGCATTAAATATGTTAATTCGTAAATGGATTGTTATATACATAACGTTATAAAAAGAAGTTACAATTTTACCTCATGGGAAAATTAAGCAATCACATTACGTTTCGTTTTATTCGTTCCGTGTTTGCTAGTGCTAGGAGGCTGAGTCAGACAATGCAATAACAACTTCTGAGATCAAACACACTGGTCTAAGTTCCCTCTGTTTTATACGTTTCATATGACAAGCTGAAAACTAAAGGATGTAATAGTGCAATAACATAAAAGTTAATGAGCTCCTCTTTAAATACAACAGTAAACTCCCTCGTCGATTAACGAGAATTACTTATATTCATGTTACAAACATTAGAACTGAGGAGTGGAACCAATACAAGTTTGATTTGTCCGCCCCTTTAAACTAACGTCTGCAAGTACCATATGTTCTAGTTTAGAGAAAATGTTAGCCGAGGACTATTGAGTAACATTTTTAATGGGTACAAGGCTTCGAAATTAGAATTTGATGAACTTGATGATGGTTTAGATCAATTAAAACCTTACAGTTGTAAAGAGCTAAATCAAATTGTCTTTTACAGGGACGTTATAAAAGCAATTATTCATGCGGTCAATAGTGCGTAAGGAATACTTTTA